GAGAGAGAGATACAGATAAAGAAACCTCCGCCTCACCTGGGTGCTTTTCAAAAAAGTGCCATTTCACACCCCGATCCCACGAAACCAGACCCTGTGACGTCAGAAAACATATCAATTTATCCTCAACAACGCAAAATGTAGGAAAACAACTGAAAACCGAGATCACAACCCGTAATCTAAAAGCTACAACAAACTTCGAAAAAATGTATAGCAAAATTAATTCTATTGTTTCGATTTCTTGACCGGGGGCTGTGAGGAGAGCGCCGTCATCCAGGCCGGCACAGCGGGGGCAGAGGTCTAAAAAATAATATGAAATTAACCGGGCAAAATGGCTACCTCCCCAGAAGCTTCTCCTGACGTCGGTGGCTCTTCACCGTCATTCTGCGTGCCAAACTCGAATTCGAGAATTCGAAGCAGCATCTGAAAAATCGACCTAATAGGAACTACCGGCAAATGATACCTTCAGAACGTTGTAGTCCATCGTGCCCTCGGGCAGCTTTTCAAACAACGGCTTCATCCGGAAGACATCTAGAAAAAAATAAAAAGATAAGGAAAAAGGAATGTGGTAAGACCTACTCTACCACCCGAGCCGAAAAATCCCAAAAGTTTTTCGCCATAACTTTTAAAAATTCAGTTATTTTGGACTGTAATTAAAAAAGCATCGTGTATTTTCTGATGCACTATCGATTCGCGTAGCCCAAATTCCGACAAAATAGCGGAAATGTCGAAAAATTTTGGGAACTTCCGGCTGGTGGGGGGGTAAAGCAAAGTCTAGCCAGGAAGAATACCTCTTCCATTGTCGTCAATTGCAGCAAGAAGGGCTGTCCGTCTCTCTTCGGTGAGCCCAAGCGGCTTTTGGTGGACGGGTAGGCCTTCACGTAGCGCCTCGGACAGGTAGGTGGCTACCGTACCCTCGCTCAGCCCGCGCGTATGGGCCAGATCTTTCTGAAAAGGAGGGATAACGGCAAAGAATCTGCGCTTGCCGATTTGAATGTCGTCATTTTGATTAAAAAGAACAAACACAACGCCAAGAAGAAACCATGATTTCTACGGACGAAAAACTAAACGGAAAAAGATAGGGGTTTTCAAATCGCGAAATTTCCACATCTCAAATTCCGGTGTTTTTTTCCAAAAACATTCATTTAGATTTTCAAAATTCAAGGAGCCATGAAATAAATGCTACGTTTGTGTCCGAATTTCAAGACTAAAAACAAAAACCCACCATCGTTGCGCCGGAATGGAGGTGCATCGTGTAGACCGCGGCTTGCGACGGCTTGAGCACATCAGAAACGGCCGATTGTTGAGATCGTGTTAGCTAAACGCAAAATTTCCAAGAATTTTCTAGTTTTTATTGCAGAAAATGAGTCGGGATATTTGAAGATGCTTCACACACGAAAAACTCACCAAATTCAGGCCACTACCCTTGGCATTCATGTCGAGACCGTAGGAGACGCACACGTCCTTGATGACGTCGATGAAGCCGAGCCCGAAGCGCGTCTTTTTCGCGTCGGGCCAATCGGTGACCGGCTCCAGGGCGGCGATGCTAAAAAATTACTTTAGCTAAAAAAAGTTTATACTTCCCACCTGTTCGGCCGAATCTCCGTCAACTGGTCCAGCACGTTGTTGCTGCAAATCTAAAAAAATTGATCTTATGAAACAATGAGTTCAAACCTGGAAAGGCGGCAAATTGCACTGACCGCCGAGCTCAACGCGTTTCGTCTCCAACGCGGCGCGAAGCTTCTTCATCTAGAAGAGCGCGAAGAGGATAGAGGAAAAACGGGACCTTACCAGTTCCATTTTTCCGGCTTCGACAGCCGAGTCTGTGTCCACTTCTTGGGCAAACTCGTAGACGCGAAGGCGTGTAGGGCCGAGGATTCTGAAATGTGAAAATTTACCCCTACAAGGTACAAACTTTTTCTCATCCGATGAAGCCATATTTGTCGGCCTGGCCGCTTGAGTAGCGCCTCGCTTCACACCTCCCGAAAGTGCAGCTCCACGAACGCCGGCCAGCAGCACCTCGGTGGCCGGTACTTTGAGCGACTAAAAACCGGTAAATCTCGCTCATATTGTAAAATCTACCTTATTGTCCGCTTGATACCAATTCCGGCCCTGCGGCGTCACCACCAAAAACGACATGGGCATATGGGCGCCGTGGCGCGTCTCGGTTTGCGTGTAGTTCATTAGGCGAAGCTGGGTGCTGAGGGCTGAAAAACGGAAGGACTTCTACAAATTAAAAATTATCTACCTTTCCACCACTCGTCGTTTTGCGGCTTTCCGGCGCCGAAGAGCGCCCTGTGCGGGCCGGCGGATAGGTGGCTCTGGGCTGACTAAAATAACAAATTAAAATTACAGGAACTCTTCACCTTTCCCCGAATAAAGTCGATAATCCCGGTGTTGCCCTTTTGGCCTCTGAAGACGTCGAGAAGCACCTAAAACAACTCCAGATGAGCGCAACGACAAAATTATGAAGCAGATCAGGCTCCAAAACTGACCTGCAAAAACAGTCTGGCCTCCGCGCCAACTTCCACCTCGATCGCCGCGCCCGTCTCCCGCTTCCGAATGTAGGCGTCGCAATTGTCGCAACAGCCCGGCCGATACTTGTCGGCGAAGTCGAAGCGCGGGTCGTAGTGGCGGAGCACCATTCTAAACACCAAATTTTGGCCTCCAGAATCTGGCGCACCTTCTCCTGCACTCGCTCGTGTTCAGAAGATCCTTCATCTTCTCCACGAGGTCCTCGCAGTGCTGTGCGAACGTCGGGTTTTGCGTCTTTTGCGCCTGGATGAAGCTGAACCGGGTTTTCAGAAAATCAGTAACATTTTACCGATATTTCGCAAAATCGCCGTCTCGATAGAAGGTGATGCACTTTGCTGGTTGACCGTCACGGCCAGCGCGTCCGATTTCTTGATAGTAGGAGTCCATGTTTTTCGGGGCTAAATTGAAGATTTTCGTAGCAGGTTCTTTCGCATTATCGGGGGCAATTTTGAAATCCGAGAAATGCCTAATAATGTAATAGTACGTATCTGATTACTGTTTTGAGCAAAAGGTAGCCAGCGGAAAAACAATAAAAAACGTAATCTTTTATAATCGACATTTTGGTTTATAAACGCCATGTTTATAAACGCCCTAGAAAAACAGTTGGTCCCCCCGATATTGCAAAAGAGCGCAGTAAAAAGGGCGCTCGGTGATACCTCCGTAATGGATGACGGTGCGCACGTCTGGCTTATCGATTCCCATTCCGAATGCGATTGTCGCCACCACGGTAGATACCTAAAAACGTAAAATAATCGTCAGGCGGGAAAACAAACCTTATCATGAATAAATGCCTGATGCGCCTTCTTCCGATTCGCGTCGCTCATCCCGGCGTGGTAGCTGTCGCAACTAACGCCTTTGCCTAAAACAAACAATTTAGGAGCGTTAAGGTCTTAACCTCGCAGATACGCATACATCTCGTCGACCTCCTTCTTCGTCGGACAATAAATGATCGTCGGGCCACCGAAATTGGGGCCAATCCGCTCGCTGTCCTGCAACAGCTCGCCCATGTCGATTGCCAGCGTGCTGCGCGGCCTCACGATCAGGTAGAGGTTTTTGCTGAAAAAATTCTAGTCGAAGATGGAAGGTCCAAAATACCGATCAAATCCGGTCTTTGTCGTGATGGCGTTCGTGATACGCAGATTTTTCTGAATGTCCTCGCACACTTCCGGCGTCGCCGTGCCCGTCACCGCCATCACCGGAACGCCGGGGAATTCTTGGCGAAGCTGAAAAGCACAAACGATAAGAATTCCCGAAGTCACCTACGACGTAAAGCTTCTTATAATCACTCCGGAAATCGTGGCCCCATTGAGAAATACAGTGCGCCTCGTCGATGGCGATTTGGCCGACGCCTGAAAGCAAAAAGTAAAGTACAATATAATCCAATCCTTACGTTTGTTGATCCGCGAAAAAGTGCTGGTAGCGACTTGACAATATTCTGGCGTCAAATAAAGGAACCTAAAAGCTTCTTAGACTTAATCAAGGTTAAATCACCTCAGCGCGCCGCTTGTAGCCTTTTCCAGGATTTCATCGCGTTCCGCGGGTGTAGTTTGGCTGTTTAGCGTGGCGGCCTCGATGTTGTTAGACCTAAACAAGCTGGTATCAAGCAAAATGCGATAATCTGCTCACCGTAGATTCGAAATTTGGTCCTCCATCAACGAAATGAGCGGCGAGACGACGATGGTCAGATCCTCCTTGATTAGCCCCCTCAATTGGAAGCAGACTGACTTGCCGTAGCCTAAAAGAGACATAGTTACAAGAAATTATTTACTTTTGGACTTCCAAAAGCCAAAGAATCATCAAAAACTTACCAGTACTCATCACGACAATCTGATCCTTGCCCTGCAGCGAATTCCGCACGATGTCCCATTGAAATGGGCGGAATTGACGGTGGCCGAAATGTTTGTGCAGCGCCTTCAATGCCTTGTCGAGCAGTGGATCATTCTAAAGAAAATAATTTCGTTTTCTACTTTCTCATACCGTCGGCTTCTCGTTTGCCGTAGCTTCTTTAGGCTTTATTGTAGCCGGTGAAACGCTTGCAGCACCCTTTGGAGGCGGTGTTTCTAAAAAAAACCATAAATTGAAAGCCTAATCTAACAAACCAGGTAATGGCGCGCTTCCGCTCGGCTCATCGTCGAACGAATCATATTCGTCCGGATTCAGTGCGGCTAAAAATAAATAAGTTTAAGCAGTTTTCGATACCTCCTCGTTTCGGCAAAGTTCCAAATTTCATGTCGAAAGGCTCGTCATCGAAAGAATCGCAGCGCAATGGCGCGCTTTGGCTCGGCTCATCGTCGAACGAAACAGATTCGTCCGGGTTCAATGCGGCTAGAAACAAATAAGTTTAAGGAGTTTTCGACACCTCCTCGTTTCGGCAAAGTTCCAAATTTCATGTCGAAAGGCTCGTCATCGAAAGAATCGTAATCTGGCGCGTCCGTTTTCACTAAAAAAAGTTTGCAAAGACAGATTTTCGTACCTGTTCCCTGATTGATCAATGGCACGGCTTCTTTGTCGAAGGGATTGGGGTCTTTGACGGGCGTTTTCGCTAAAAACAAACTTTAGCATCGAGATTTTATTACCTTGGCCTGCTTTCACCGATGGAGCCGGGTCATCATCGTCGAATGAGTCGTATCCGGCGGCCATCTATGGAAAAGCGATATAATTTGACTGTTTTACAGTTGAAAACAGGAAGAAAAGGTGGTTTACGCGAGGGAAAAGTTCAAAAGGGCGGGAGCCTATTTCCAGCCGGCCGAGAGGCGCGTTCCCAGAGCAAAGAGAAAAAGAGCAGCCACGGAAAGCCTGAAAATAACCAAAACAAGGCGCTAACGTTTTTCAAATCGTTCAGACGAAAAATTAATAAAATCAAACTTTGAAAACTCTGAGGCTGAAGTGTCTAAAGCGGCTTCAAAATCGATTGAAAAAGTATGCGAGCTCGTAATGAGTAGCTTTACGTTACAAAGCAAGTCTTTTACGAGGTAAACGATAGCTTACAAGGAGTCGCTTTTAGGTGCGATTGGAGTTTTGGGACGGGACCTAGCTAGTTCGATAGAGAAAAAAATTCTGAGCAACATCTCGTTTTCAAAAAGTGCTGATCGATAAAGCTGTTTTAGAAAATTTAATTTAAAGTTCGCGCTTTTTTTTAGTTTTCGGGTCCATTTCCTCGGTTCACGTCGTTTTCGGGGCTGGGCAGGGCGCCATTCGTAACCCTCCGCCAATGCCTCCATCGCAGACTGCATTAGCGTATTGGTAGCGCGCTTGCCTACCAACTTTTTAACATTTTTTTTGCCTCGGGTTCAAATCCTCGCGCTGGCTAACCCTTTGCTTTTTGGTTCTTGAACCCGTTATCGGTGCATAAAATTTTAATTAGCAAAAAAGCAAAAATTTAACGATAAATAAGAATCGAACTTGTGGCAAAAGGTCAAAAAAAACTTCGTAGGCCATCGCACTAGCCACTTGGCCATGCCTAGGACGAGATCCAAGGCGCGTGAAGTCCTCATCTGGCAGGGGCGATCGACCGCCGCAAATCACCTCAAATCACCACAAGGGTCCGGGTACCGGGAACTTTTTTAATTAAATTAAATTTTCTAAAACAGTTTTATCGATCAGCACTTTTTGAAAACGGGATGTTGCTCAGAATTTTTTTCTCTATCGAACTAGCTAGGTCCCGTCCCGAAACTCCAAAAGCACCTAAAAGCGACTCCTTGTTAGCGATAGCTTGAAAACAAATTGGTCGTTTTCAACATTATTTGATCTGCGGACCTTGTAAGCCCGTAATTAGTAGCGCTGCGTTACAAACGGGGTACAGTCACTACCCCGAAAGTCACTACCCCGAAAAGTCATTACCCCGAAAAGTCACTACCCCGAAATAATTTGCACGATTTTCATGGAAAACCGCATGAAAACTAGATTTTTCCGGGATAAACAATGCTATAATTTTTCGGGGTAAACCATTCCGGGGTAGTGACTTTTCGGGGTAGTGACTTTTCGGGGTAGTGACTTTTCGGGGTAATGACTTTTCGGGGTAGTGACTTTTCGGGGTAGTGACTTTCGGGGTAGTGACTTTTCGGGGTAGTGACCGGACGCCGTTACAAACTTTCGAGCCAAATCGATGGACGTTTGTTTGAAAAAATTGTGTTTTTTGTATGATATTTTGCCTGCCGATTGAGTCAGCATAGCAATGGAAGCGGATCGCGAATGTATAAGCGATCGCAAGCCTCCGATTTTCACTTCTCGCAGCCGTTGCCGCTTGAAACTTCTCGAATCCCTATTATGTCACGGCTAGTTCTTTTATTTCTCGCTTATATCTTGGTCGCAGCGGCTTTTCCGGAGTATGAGGTAGGTCATAACCTTGATAGATCCGCTTGAAAACCTAGAAAGATCTAGATACGCTTCAAGTTTTTTGGAAAAGCTCAAAAATATGAAAAACTTGCAGGGCTTGAACACGACTTGTACAAAGTCTCATGATTGTCAAGTCATCAACACGGCCGCCGTCGGGATCTGTAAAGATGGGAAGTGTGACTACGAATTGACCAGAGGATTCATCTACTTTCCTTTCAAGGAAGTGAAGAAAAATGGTACTGAATAAAGTTTATGTAAAGTTAGGGTAGCATACCCTCTTTGAGCGCCTGCGTTTTGTTACGTTTGGCTCTAGTCCTCCACGTTTAGAACTTTAATTCACTTCTTTGCAAGCGTTTTTACGCAGCAGCTCATGAACGATTTTTTGACGAAAATTTCTCCAAAATAGCCGCGGAAATGCAAAATTGCTGGTATGTTTCATCCAATTCCAAGAAAGCACAAATAAATCGAAAATTTTTTGGGTTTTCAGGTTTTTTTTTGGGTTGTATAATTGAATCGTTTTTCTTAGAAAAGTTACATTTTATTTGCCTCTTCTTGGCACGCGTCCCTTTTCCGAAAATATGGTCGAGGGCGATGCCGTGGAATTGGAAATCATCCTCGGGCGCTAATGGCCCCGTTTCCGGTGGCCATTCCGGGCACCTGCCCCAAGACGAGGATTATCGACTTGGGCCATTAAACACCTTAAATTCTGATATTTATTGATCTCTTATAGTATTCACTATTACGTTGCCGTCTTGTAATATGAAACCACAGCAATCAAAGATGCGCAAGCTGACGAGCGGTATTTTGGTAATTTTCTAGACTTTGAAACGTTCTAGGGGTTTTCCGTTCCTCTTCAATACTGTAATCCCCTTAAAACCATTACACCAGTGTAAAAACTAAAGTTATAATAATTCAATAAGGGCGCGAAAAAGTGGCTAATCCACGAGAAGCAGCGGCACGACCACGAAGCGGATGACCTGAACACACGTCGGGTCTTCGACATCTCGATCGATGAGGCGATTCCGCCACCAAAACAGAATATTTTAAGGTAAGAGCGTGCAAACATGGATACATCAAAATCGTGCTATCAGACGTGTCGTCTTCTGGTCGTACGACGAAACGAGCCCATTTTATTACTATTGGTCGCTGCTGGTTTTCCTGGGGTGTTTTTACAATTTGTTGACGATTGCTGTGATGACGTTTGAGGTTATGGTGGGTTAAAAAGTGTAGTTTACACATTTTAAAGCTATAATGGAGTAGAATAAAAGCTTTTGCCAAGAGCAGTTTAAAAAAGCGCTGCTAAACGTTTTTAAACTATTTTTTTTAAATTTTGGGCTGATCGGTGTTAAAAGGCCGTCCGCCGGTCAGTCGAACAGCCCACATGATGCCTTGGCACAGTTTTTTCGACCCCGTTTTTTTTGATGCCATATGAAAGAGCATAGTCGAATTAGTAGGGTGGCGCTATTTCGAGATTTTTAAAAGTTCATTTTCTAGGTTTAAATGGGTGTTAAAGTTGAAAACCTTCAAAAATTATCTCGCGATCTACTGAACCAAATTGCTCGAAAATTTCAGACAATACCTAATTTGGGGCGCTGATCATTTTTGTAATACATTGTAAAGCACGAAATAAGCCGGAACATAGGAATACCGCGTACACAAGGAGGTTTTTCGCAATTTTCTATTTAATGGGTATGCGTCGCCACTCTAGAAATACCCTTAAAAGATGCGCAATTAAATTCTACGTTGAATCATGTATTTTCCAGCGTGGCGACAGATACCCATTAAATCGAAAAAATAACATTTCTTAAAACAACTAAAATGGCTCCACAAACATAAAAATACTGTATTTTGGCAATCCGCGGATTTCAATTGACTCTAAAGGAGAAGGCAAGTACATTGCAAAAAAGAGCAAAAAAGAAATATCTTTTCTACGCGAAATTGGGCTCGGTGGGGAATCGAACCCGCGATGGTCCACCTGGGGCACTGGGGACAGCCACTAGTGGGCGCCGCCAGGTCCCAGGTGAACGACCCGAGTTCAATCCCAGCCCCCTTTTAGAAATCGAATTTCTTTTTGCTCTTTTTTGCAAACGTTCTGTTTTGGTCTCTAGATACGGAAAACTGTCTTTCTTTTCCGGAATACGCAATTTTTTTCTCTTCGGCTTCTTTAAAAGCGATTTTTCGATTTAATGGGTATCTGTCGCCACGCTGGAAAATACATGATTCAACGTAGAATTTAATTGCGCATCTTTTAAGGGTATTTCTAGAGTGGCGACGCATACCCATTAAATAGAAAATTGCGAAAAACCTCCTTGTGTACGCGGTATTCCTATGTTCCGGCTTATTTCGTGCTTTACAATGTATTACAAAAATGATCAGCTCCCCAAATTAGGTATTGTCTGAAATTTTCGAGCAATTTGGTTCAGTTGATCGCGAGATAATTTTTGAAGGTTTTCAACTTTAACACCCATTTAAACCTAGAAAATGAACTTTTAAAAATCTCGAAATAGCGCCACCCTACTAATTCGACTATGCTCTTTCATATGGCATCAAAAAAAACGGGGTCGAAAAAACTGTGACAAGGCTTGTTCGGGTCTCTGGCAAACGGCCTTTTAAACGTCTATTTCCAAGTTTAGTTTATAGAAAAAGCGTATTTATACACTCTTAATCTTAAATCCACTATTTTCTATGTGCCAGGCGGAGAGCCATTTCGAAAACTGGACGTACGGCAATATCGTTTTTGACGCCCTCTTCGTCATCGATCTCTTGTTATTGACCCGAAAACGTAGGTTGTAAGTCAAGTCATTAAAACGGATACCCAGGATTACTCTAATTTTCCGATCTTTTAGAATACATCCAAGACGGGATCCGAGAGCACGGGGTCTGGAAATTGCTCGTTCATCGAGTTTCCGGCCGTCATTTCTACCTGGATATCGCCGCTCTATTACCAACGGATATTTTTCTATTGCATTCCAAGATGCTGAGCATTGTTAGAGTGAATCGATTGTTAAAGGTATCATCTATATCAATTGAAATAGCTTTTAGGTATATCGCGTCATGGAATTTTACACTTTGACCGAAATTCGGACGACGATGCCGAATTTATTCCGACTTTTCAAGCTCGTATTTTTGTGTTTTGTCATATTCCACTGGAACGCGAGCCTGTACTTCTTTTTGAGCACAATATTTGGGATTGATAGTTAGTAAACACCCCGGAAAATGGGCTTATTAATTCTTTAGAAGCGGACATCGATGCTTGGATTTTTTCGTATGATAAGGTGCCAGACCCAATATTTGTAGATTGCCAGAGGTATTGTTTTTTCGCTTTTAGGGTATTTAAAGTCGGTTATTTGAAAAATAGTACGTTTTATACCCCTTTTCAAAAACGACACTTGCCACTTCACGGAGAGACCGTTGAGCGACTACGAGGATCGCCGTAATTTCACGAAGGAATGCGAGAAGTACAGGGACCACTGGGCAGAGAGGTATGGATTGAAAGGCTAGAAAGTGCAAATTTGACCCCTCCGGTTTCTAGGTCTCGACAGATACGGGGACGGTTCAAATTTACGTAGTAAAAGGAACGTCATAGTCCCTAAAAACGTTACGCTACGCTACGTTACGGTAATCGAGCACGCTGCGTGATTTGGCGCGTGGCGTAGTTGTCGAGACCTAGTCATAAACGGAGTAGCTTTTCGCACTTTTGCAGATTGAAAAAGTAGAGATATTGTAGAACATACCGCCACGCCTTTTCCAACTTCTCCAAACAGTACTCGTTGAGCTTCTACTGGTCGGCGTTGACGCTCGTTACGCTTGGGGAGCAGGTAATTTTCTATACATATTTTACCGAAATTTCTGGCGGTTAAATACCCAACTTGTTTAGCCCTCACCCCAGCGCTCCTTCCAAAACATTTTCGAGATTATCGTCACGCTACTTGGGCTTGTAATTTTCGCCGTAATTGTTGGTGATGTCGGCAACATGGTGCAGGTACGACGGAAGCTTCACTTTTATAGCATTACCGTACTTAATTTAATGATACGATACTTTAGACGATGAACCTAAAGCGCACGGATTACGAGGAGATTTTCGACGGGACGCGGGCGTACATGTTGCGACAGTAAGTGGCGTTTATATGAGCGTCTTGTAGCTCGATTGAGCTCTTCACAAACTACATGTAAAAGCTATATAGATATTAACTAGCATATTACTATGGTATGGTTAACAACGCAAGCTTTTTCAGTCAAGTCCCCCAACAACTCCAACAGAAAATCATCCGCTACTTGACGTACATCTGGGGTCAGGGGCAGATTGGAGTAGATGAAAAGGTACTGTTCATCGTTTCATTTTGTCACCTAGTTTATGGCTGGAGACTTACTTACTATTAACTGATTTCGATAGGCAATCTCAGACTTCCTGCCCAATCGTCTTTACGGCCACATGGCTGTTCATATACATATGGAGACCTTGAGGTGAGTGAGAGTAAGTGAGAGAGAGAGAGAGAGAGAGAGAGAGAGAGAGAGAAAGATCGAAAGACTTCTTAATTCCAGACGCGTTCCCCTCTTTGCCGACTGTGATCCAACACTCCTTTACGAGTTTATATTGCGACTCGAGCTGCAGGTAGCCAAGCGCGAGAATACTGTAACTAGGTCTATTTCCAGGTTTACAGCCCCGGTGATTACATTTGTCGAAAGGGTGAAGTCGGAAAGGTACCGAAAACTCGAAAAAAATGTAACCACGATGTTGTTTCAGGAAATGTACATCGTCAAGTCGGGATTCGTTGAGGTAGTAAATGAAGACGGGACCAAGGTATGGCAATTTCAAGCTAGCCTTCTGAAGCGGAAACTGGCGCTAAACTGAAATCTTGCAAGGTTAGATCTTCGTCCGTCTCGGCGAGGGCGTCGTTTTCGGGGAGCTGTCGATTCTGAATATTCCCGGGAATCGGAACGGGGATCGGCGGACGGCAAATGTTCGATCTGCTGGTTATACAAATTTATACGCGCTGCGGAAGGAGGATTTATGGGAGGCACTACGCGACTATCCGCAGGCAACACAGTCGTTGTTTGAGAAGGGTACGATATGGTCTCTCTCTTTCTCTGTCTCTCTCTCACTCTCTCGCTCTCTCTCTCTTTCTCTCTCTCGCTTTCTCTTTCTCTCGCTACATTTCCCTCTTCCAGGTCGCCAAATCCTGGCCAAAGACAACCTGCTCGAAGAGACGACCGAGGAGCACGACAACTGGGACCCTGACGCACCAATTGAAGAAAAATTTGAGACGATTCGCCGCGACATGGAGGAGTTCACCAAGCAGCTTGATGAAGCGGAAGTTATGCTCAGGGTTAGATGCATCTCATTTTCAAACTTTTCCGATCCTCAGGCCTCAATGGACCGGGAGAAGCAGCTCGTCACCAAGCTCGAGGAGAGTTTTGTCGAGTTTTTCGAGCTGGTCAACCGTGACGACGAGCACGAGGAAGACAGTGATTCCGATGGATGACGCCATGCAAGTAGTATCGAAATGTACACAACATAGCAGCCAATAAAACTCTTTATTATGTATCCAAAAAAGCATACGATACAACACAAAAAAATACAATCACCGGTTTGCGATTAAATTCGAGGGTCGGGGGGAGGGGAGTGGGGTCCTGGTATGAGTTTTGTGTGCAAATGGGAAAACACGAACGAGAGGTTGGTGCCTTCTCTCGGCGGAAATTAATGCTTTCTAAAGGGCCATGGAAGCGAGGGGTACGGTAGGTCAAGGAAATTCCGATCGGCTCCTATTTGCTGGCGCACACCTTGTCGAGGGCCTTGCACACTTCGGCAAAGATCGAGTCGACGGAGCCCTCGGCCGGGATCTGGAAATATTGAAAATGTAGGGCTTTTTCAGGGGATTAAAAGGACAGGGAAAGCAGAAAAAGGTAGCTGGTTTGTTAGCGGGGTAATGAACCCGGTAACAAACAAGATCCAAAAAATTCATTCATTGCGACATCTTCAAGGCGCTCAAGCGACTCGAGCGTTGCGCTGCGTTGCGGCAAAGTTCATAGACAATCCATAGCCGCAAAGTCCTAGCTATGCCTTGTCACTCCGTTTAAAGTTCAACCCCAACAAAACTACCGACCCGAACAAGTTTGCCCTTCTTCTCGTAGTGGTCGACGACGGGGGCCGTCGACGTGATGAAGGTGTGCAGGCGCTTCTTGATCGTCGCCTCGTTGTCGTCGGCACGGCCACTAAAAAGGACCATGAGAGCGCCAGAGATAAAGAGCGAGAGATGGAGAGAGACATAGAACGAGAGCGAGAGAGAGGGGGAGAGAGAGCGAGAAACAGCAAGCAAGCTCATATACCTGGTCTGGGCGCGGTGGAGCAGCCGCTTCACAAGCGTCTCTTCGCAGACGTCGAAGAAGATGACCAGCTGGGCTTGTTGAATCTAGGAACAGATTTTTTGAAGTTGCAATTTCCACCGTACCTCGCCCTCAAACTGGTCGCCCTGGGCCACCTCGCGGGGATAGCCGTCGATGAGGAATCCCTTGGAGCCGGCGGCCACCTTCTTGAGCATCGCCTCCTTCACCAGGTCGAGCACGACCTCCTGTAGATGGTCAAGATTAATAGTAGCCCCTAGAAGAAAATTACCAGGGGGACCAGCTTGCCGGCCTCCATGATGGCGGTCAGCTCGGCGCCGCGGGACGAGCCGGACTTCACCTCATCTCTGAAGAAGGCTGCATTGAAGGGATTGTGACAGATAGTCCAAAATTTTAGAATTTACCGTTAAAGGAAAAGTGACATCTACCAAAAGCTCATCAAGATTCTCACCTCAACAAGTCCCCAGACGACAGATGCGAGAGTCCGTACTTGGCGACAATCTTGTCGCATTGGGTGCCCTTACCCGAGCCGGGGCCTCCTGCAAAAATCGTGATAAGATGGGTTTAAAGGGGCGTTAAAGGCATGTTTGTGGGTTTTGTTGGCTATCGCTTCTTTGATTTTCTTCCTCTTTCAAAACAGACTTTTTGTGAAGTAGCGTAATGAAGCAGCCAAATTGCAGCGAGGCGCGCAACCCGCGACGCCTTCAAGGAGTACGAGGGATTTTGGGTTCGAGTCCGAGTTCAAGGTATTCGGCAAAAACGGCTTTGGCTGGACACGCAAGAATTGACAACGGTTTTGGTTGGCCCCCGCGAGACGCGACGCTTACGCGCCCGCCTTCATATGGCGACGCAGCGCATTGCGACCCTTTTCGGCAGCCCAATCTACGCGTTGCGTGTTGCGGTGTTGCGCCGCGGTCAAGTCGCAAACCACAACCAAGCATAAATCAGCAAGATGATTTTTGTCGTTCATAAAAAGAACCGTGACACCACACTTCCAGCATTGAAAATTCAAGCGAAATCCCGTACCGACGATGAAGATGATGGGCACCTTGGCGTTCTTCAGCGGCGCCAAGTCGATCTGCTTCCGTTGTACAGCGACTGCCGGGGCCATTGTTGAGCTGAAAAAATTCTGTATTCAAATTTGGAAGAGGCTGGCAACTTCGAATGGGCAGCAAGGTCGAGGAGAAGGCAAACGGTGTGGAAGGTGGGGGGAGAAATGGGCGGGGCGAGCACTGAATTGAGCAGAATCTTTCCGGAAAATGCAAATTAATGCAATAAAATTAAGCAGATGCAAATTAGGCATTTTAAAGTTGCAAAGTTGGTATTCGCCTCATCAGAATTTTTAAGATGTCCCTAATTTAAAAAATCTTTGAATGGATCTAAAATATATTATTTATGGTGATTTTCAAATTTAATTTGCTATGATTAACTTTGTATGAATTAAGCGTATGAAAAAATTAGCGGCAGAAATTTAAAATAAAGTGCTGAGAGTCGGGAAAAACAGCCTTGAAACGTTTAAATGATTTTTAGAGTTGTTTTGAGGTATTTTCTAGACATAAAAGTACGGCCTAAGCCTCTTTGCATACAGAAAATGTACCAAAAAATCAGAGCACAGAGCGGTGTCTAGCAAAAGAACCCGCCCCAACTACGTGATCATTTCCAAAAGAGGCCGCCTATGCAGCAAAACTTGTAAACAAAAGCAGAGAACAGAGTGGGGGGGGGGTTGAGATGGAGAGTGATAAGTTAATTTACTCAAAAAGGCGGATACGATGCGACATTACGCGATAGAAAACCTTTGAAAGATAAAAATTTATTGAATCAGGAACTTAGAACTTTTAGAACAGAAATTCGGAATTTTTTACTGTTATTTCGTGGCCAGTCGGAAATTATTAGTGGCCAAAAAAATAAATTTCTCTCAAAATCCGTCTTCAATGGTGAAAATCGAACGGAAAGCCGATTTTTAAGAATAGGAAGTTGATATCTCAAAAATACAAAGTCATTTCCGCCACAAAGTTTCAGCGCGCTTCTCGCAGACCTGAGGCGAAAAATTCGTGTCTATGGTGTCATTTAAGTAGTTTCTAATATTAACAAAAATTTTGGCTTCAAATCCTGGAAAAACATGTTCTAAAACCAGCACCATGTGTCGGAAGATAAAATATAGCTTTATATGATTGCTATAACGTTTTAAAGGCCAACTTCTCGTTGGAAATGGACACACAAACACACCGAGGTGCATTACAACTCGCTCTGGGGCCGAAGGGCCAGCCGGATCCCACCCCAGCTCATGCTTTTTTGCCTCACACCGGTTCGTCACTTTCTCTCGCTCTCTCTCGCGCTCTCTCTTTCTCTCTCCAACTCTCTCGTTTGGGTCGAGTTCCGGGGGCCGGGGATGAGCCGGTGGGCAGTAGAGAAAAATACACACAACACAACAAATGACGCCCAGGAGAGTGAGGTGCGCAGAGAATAAACTTTTCTGGGTTTTGACGTGGTGTGGGATTTGCGTCAATAAGAACACTCTTGGGTTTGAGTGACCGGGATTGGCATTTGGAGCGTCGTGGAGTGAAGGTGAAAACGGGGCAGAAATGGTTCGTGAATCGTGTTTTGGAGGAAAAATGAAAAATTCTCATGAAAATTACTTTTCAGACCCGAAGTTGGCAGTAAAGGGATTAAAAAACGCTACAGTCAGCCCCTCGCCCCCTAGGTCTAGACAGTTTCTAGCGCTAATGACGCAATACTTTCAGGGATTTTGCCGCGTCCAAACACATTTCAAGACCATTAACGCGTATTTTGGCGTACAGTTGGTGTTAGCTTATGGACGGAATTAGTGTTAAACTAGCTTTAAAAGTTCTTTAAAACGACAAAGTTGTATTTCCAAAGCACGAAGAAAGGTCCAGGGATATCCAATTTCGAAAAATACGTCCTGCGGCTTAGACCGGAAATCCGGATTAAGCGCGAAACTCTTTTTGAATTTGAAATGCGTGAATCTAGGGCCGAATCCAGAAAAAGAAGCGAGAGATCGAAAACTACAAAATCGCAAGTGATTTTCTTGTCATGGGGCCAATCGGGATCGACCAATTTGCGCAGCTGGCGCCCGAAACGCACAAAACAATGGGTATCGGCGCGGAAATTTACACATCGGCTGCCACACAATTTCGTCAGCGCAAAAATTGCATCAGGATGTTGGAACGCGGGGTGGGGCGACATTTAGTGTCAGTTCTAGGCGGAATAGCTTGCATCAATCTCCTAAAAATATATCTTTTCTATCTATTTTAATCTTTTAGCAGGGCTTCCTAAGCCTAAGCTGAAGCCCTACCCGAGCCCAAGCCAAGTCGAAGCCAAGCCTAGTAAGCTAAGCCTAAGGAAAGCACAAACGGATAAAACGTTACAAAAACCAATAAAAACTCGGCCCCCTTTTCTTTAACCGTTTCTGCCACGTTCCCACAGGTTATGAGAGCCGATGTCCAAACGGAAGCTTCTCACCAGGCGGGCAAGATATTGGCTTTTTTGAAGAGTGGGAGGGGGAGAGAAGCCGGATAGCTCTGGCTGGGGGGCACTCGGTTCGATCGACTTGTCAACAATGCACAAACATGGCAACCAGCCTGGATACGTGTCTTTTTATGGGATGCTGTGAGGTAGGAATGGCTCTCGAAAGTTTTACTAGAGTGTTGATAAGGAGCGTTACGGAACCGGTTACGCTATGGAATTAGGAATGACACGGACAATACAGAGAAAACAGACTACGAACCATCTACCGGATTTATTAGGGTTGGATGATCGGAAAAAGCCATTTTGCAACAAAAACTACTGAAAAACCGGTTTAAAAAATTTTGTAAAACAAATAGGTCTCTGGAGGATACCTTCAAAGCAAAAAAAAACAAAATATTCTAACCCAATTTTGAAAACTCTCACTTTTCCGCCCGGAAAAATGAAGGGACGATTGGGAAATGAAAATTCTGAAGCCTTTTTTCATGAATTTTTCCGAATTCTATTTGTTTATGGAAATTAGCTTAGCCTACGCAGTGCGCTAACCTGGAAAGCAAATAAAAGGGGTAAATGGCAATTTCTGAGGATCCGGGGGGCCCTTGGGGCCCACCGCGGCCCCAAGAAATTCAGAAAAGAGGGGATGGGAAAATGAGAG